TCATAAAGTTAAAAGCATATTGTGAAAATACTTATTAAATTATGTTGCTCATTGGCTGGCTATAAATAATTCAACGAGCCAGCCAACGAGCAATGAAAATCATTATACAAAGATAAAAACATCTTTGGAACAAGATTTAGGGGTCCTAATATCTAATGATATAAAATGGAAAAATCATATAGACATGATAGCAGGAAAAGCAAACAGAATACTTGGTCAAATAAAACATTTTTTTATATATTTAGATAAAGACCTAATAAAACTTGCTGTATTGTTCTTTAGTTCAACCACACTTGGAATTTGCTTCAATATTTGGAATCCTTATTTTTAAAAAAAATCAATAAAATAGAGCAAGTACAAAGAAGATGTTTAAAAGGTATGAGGAGCGATTTAAAGAATTTGGATTGACGTCATTAGGAAAATGAAGAGAACAGAGTGATATAATAGAACATTATAAAATTAAAAATGATTTTCTTAAATTAAATTGGAGATTTTGATGATGACCCTCCAATAAACAACTTATATCCAAAATTAAGAGGTCATAATCAACGGTTGCACAAACAAAATGTTTGTGTTTTGGAAGCAAGAATGCCTTACTTGATAGGATTGTTAATAAATGGAACAGTCTAACCTATGACGTTGTTAACTCTGTTAATTTAAATACTTTTAAAAATTGGAAAAATTTTAAAAACTTGAATAACATTAGAAGGGCAATTCTAAATAAAAATTAGATTGTCACACCACTACAGTTGAGTGACTTTTTATTTTCATATGTACGATTAAGATTATTATTATTATTAACTTGTAGCTCTCAGGTTTGGGGCTGGTGTCTCCAAAATTTTAGGGCTTTTTTGATCCTAAACTCCAATTATTGCATTTTTTTGCATAGCATTCTTATTTGACTTAATTTTAATAACAACATCTTTAATGTAATTTTAGATAATGCCTAATAGTAGCATCTCTTCAAGACATCAAGTATAAACATATAAGTGTTTGGAGACAACTCCATGCCTGGTTATCTCAAACATCAAAATAAACTGTATCCACCCCCTGCAGTTTAAAAAGATAAAGCGCTGCTTTAAAAAAATCATAGTTTTTATCATGACAGCTAAGTTTGTAGTTTGTAAATCAATTTAGTTCACTTTATCCCTCATTTCTCTGACTATTTAGGGTAAAATAAACTAGTCTTTTTGTTACATTTTTCATCTAATATCTTTTGTAGAACTGTAGGCATATTTCAAACCTTAACTGTTAAAAATGTTCCAAATTTTGGTAAATTCGCATTTTATCTACTAAATGTCATTGAGGAGCATGTTAAGAGATATTTCATCAGGATATTTCAAACATGAAAAGTAGATATCAAGGATGATGGGATACTGCTATGATGGGATATTTTATATGGTCTTTAGTCAAAAAAGCTGAAAACACTCAAGAAAATTGTGATCATCAAATAAATCTTGAAGAAAGAATTTATAGTGAAGTTTATAGAAAGAGTTTATAGTGAAGAATTGTATTATAAATCATAAGTTTAAAAACATTTATAGTAAAGAATTGTTTTTAGTTTTGTTTTCACTAATATTGTACTTACTAAATACCTTTAAATATATGAAAGTGCTATATGCTATGTAATTATCCTTATAATACTAGAATAGATTGATACAACATACTGACTTTGCACTTATATCAAGAAAATATGAAATTAAGCATAAATAAAAAACTATAGATGTACATCAAAACAAATGTGATTTTTAAATTCATTTGCAAAAAATAAAAAAATATTGAAAAAACTTAGTGGGTTAGACCTTTATTACATTGTTTTATTCATGTTTCTTATCATTACTTGTTCACCCTCACATATTGTTTATCATTAGATGCTCACCATCACATATTGTTTATAAGCTATTATATTAACATAAAAACATTATAAAGTAGTAATTCTTGAAATTAACGCCCTGTCAACTGATAATCATTAGCATTTCGTCTAAGCTGTTTAAATGCTCATTGGCATTTTGTTTCTAGCTGTTAAAGAGGGTGGTAAAACATTAAAAAAAAAATGGTGATGAACCTAGATCAATGCTGAAAGATAACATAAGTCTCAACAATAAAGCCCTGTGGGATAAAAAAATAGTGCAACATGTATAAGTTTTTATAAATTTATTACAAAATAGATTGTGGTTTTTTATTGATAATAAAATGGTTATGGTATAATGCTTATTTATACTTAAAAAATTACATGATTACCCATTTCTTTAAAAATTAGCATATTACCTGCTGTTAATCACACTTGACATCACATGAAATGAACAAGTCAACTTTTTAATTATTTAAAGCACTATAACAGTTTCTGACACAAAATTGATGCAAAAAATGTCTACTCTATTTATATGACCAAAAAATTTGCATCTCTTTGAAAAGTTCTGCATCCTCAATGACATAAAAGTAATAATTTTACCTTTACACAGCTGCCTTTAACCATTAGACACACAGTATAACATAGTAACAAAATAAAAATGATCAGTGATTTTGTCCAAACAACTATCTGACAGATATATTGTGTTTTTAACACCATGTTAAAATAGAAGGCTATGACAAAAGGATTTGTGGGGTGCATCCTCTATGTAAGTCAGTGAAAAAATACAATTATAAAAGGGGAGACATTTAAATTTAGTAGCAATTTCAGTGAGAAAATGCAAATTTTCATTTAGTATAAATAATTTTTCAAAAAAAAAATTTTCAAACCTAAGTCGCACATAACAAGCACTAAAAATATAGAAAAAATTAAATGAAAAAAAAAAAAAAAAAGAATTTAAAAAATAGAAAATCTCTGTATGTGTTTTCCAATCCAACTTAAGTTAGTAAGACAGAAAATATGAATTCTTTCTTTTCATGTTAGGGTATGTGAACTCTACTTTTTGCATCAACATGTGCGCAAAGTTCAATAAAATAACTTTTCATTTTTTTTACATTGCTAAAATTGTTCCATAAAGTGAAAAAAACTGTTCTATAAAGTAAAAAAAAATTTATAATCCAACAAATTCACAAATTTCTGCTCCATCATAACTGCCCATTGTTACATCAAAGCAGACATGTTTGTTTTTCTTTTTCCAAGTTTCTTTATTATAACAAAGTAAAATTTTTCTGCAAGGTTTTATTATACCAATTGTCTTTTCTGGGATAACTGTGTGGATTTTTGTAAACTCAATTGTTTTATCTAAAATATCTGCTGTTATTGAGAGGTCAAAATCATTAATGTGAAATAGAATAAATGTACAGTCATTTTTATTTTCAATTGTGGAGAACCAATTTACAACAGTGGTATTTTTCTACTGTTGTAAATTTAATTTATTTCTAAAAATATTTTTAACTTTGTCCAATTTAATTTTGCTTACATGTCAAATCTCACTTTTTAAGGGGACTAATTACCTCAAAGGAAGTATATAAACAATTTTAAAATGTATTCTACAAAATATTTTCGAACTAATTTGCAAAAATCCACACAGTTATCCCAGAAAAGCCAATTCATACAATAAAACATTGCAAAAAAACCTTACTTTATTATAATAAAGAAACTTGGAAAACCAAAAACAAACATAAGTGCTTTGATGTAGCAATGGGCAGTTATGATGGAGCAGAAATTTGTGAATTTGTTGGATTATAAACTTTAGGTTTATTAAGTAGAATAAACAATATTAATGATTTGGGTCTTTATTGTGATGATGGTTTGATAGGTAAAAATAGGATAGATAGAGATAGGATGGTTTAATGCATAAAAGATATATAAGATATATATCTTTTATGCATTATATCTGAGATATAATGATGATTTTGGTCAGATGGATCATGCTGTAACTGACCACAATTATAATTTTATTTCTCTACAATTTGGCCATGGCTGTTTTGATGTTTTAACAAACTAAATGCAATAAGAAAATTTTTTACAATGTGAATAACTTTTATTCATTGATATTTTCTCAAAGTTTTTTATTATTTATTGATCTTTTCTCAAAGTTTTATTTTAAGCAAAAAGTTTTAATAAAATAAAAAAATTAATAATAATGATTTTTTAAAATAAGCACATTTTGTGTAAATTAACAAAAAAATTAAATATTTTTTTTTTATGTAGGTATGTATTTTTTATTATAAATTTAAACGTTTGAAACTATTTTTCAATGTCTTTCTACAAGACTTTTATTTTTTTGAAATATTTTTTTTTTAATTTTTTTTTTCATTATGAAAAAATTTAAGATATTTTGTGACTAGTTGCTTAGAATGAGAGTGGAACATTTTATACAAATTATACAAGAATATAAAATAACTTTATTTACTTAAATAAACATGTATTTTATTGATTAATGTAAAATATTTGAAGTAATTTGTAATGTTTTTATTTTACTATTTTTTTAAATCATTTAAAGAAATATTTTATAAGCAAAAGAAAATGTTTTGAAACTTTTTGGAAAAAATGTCTATAGAATTTTAAATTATTTTATATAACACTTTTTAATAATTTAAATAAAATCAGTTCTTTTATTAAACAATCATTAGAAGTAATTTTATACTTAATAAAATACATTTTGCATAACTTTAACCAATGTTTCAAAAGATAAGATTTAAAGTAATTTATTTTAAACGCTATTAAAAATGTAGCAAAAACTTTTTTGAGTTTTATTTTAATGCTTATATATTTTCTTTTATGTAAGGAATTGTTTTCTTTTTTCTTTAGTTTTTTTTACTTAATTTTCTTCCAAGTTTTTTCTTTTTTTACCGCATTTCTGAAATATATACATATATATATATATATATATATATATATATATATATATATATATATATATATATATATATATATATATATATATATATATATATATATATATATATATATATTATATATATATATATATATATATTTTATATATATATATATATATATATATATATATATATATATATATATATATATATATATATATACATACATCCTTGTGTTTTGAAATTACCTGAGTTTATTCAATACAGCAGCAAATGGAGTTATTCCAATTCCAGCAGCTACACTAATATTAACTGGATACCTGAAGCAATCCTATAAATGATTAGACTCAAAATTTACAAAAAATAATTTAAAACAATTGCTCCACTATATATAGACTGAATTTAGATGGATAAATGTGTTCATAAAAATTTTCTCTCTTCTCCCACTGCCCCCCATCCTCTCACATAAATGCACACTCTCTATCCTTGGAATTTTAGAAAAACAAATATTTCTTTTAGGAGAGAACTTTAATTTAAAAAATTCAGAAATTGGAAAAATTGCCTTTATATCTTATTGTTTACCTTAAGAAAGTGAAAATATTTTCAATTATAAATACTGTTGTAGAAAATAATGAATAAATAAAGAAAATAAAACCTCATTTGGACTTCCATAAGGTCCATCTACACGTATTATAGGCAAAACGTTTTCATCGTTTTCTTCATTTTCATTATCATAAACAATGCTTTTGTCAATATTAATAATACAGTTATCACCAACTCTTTGCATAAAGATGCCTTTTGTATTAATACATTTAAAAAATTTTGCTTTTAGTTTCTTTGTCCAATCCCCAGCTACCTTCATATTTACAGAAAATGTTTCATCACCACCATCATTAGTTGGACACTAAAACAAAAAAAAGACAAATGATAAAAATGCATATAAAAATTTAAAAATTTCAACAACAAACCTGATCAATTTACTAATGTAACTAAACAATTAATTCATTTAAAATAAAAAATGCTTTAAAAAAATGACTAAAAACACTGTAAACACAAAATAACACACTTTTTGAATTTAAGATTTTAATATATTGCTAATATAAAAATATTATATTGTCTGAAAAGATTTCATATTTATGTGACAAAATTAACATCTAACAAAATAACTTAAAAATAGTTATAATAAATAATAGCTTCCAACAATATTACAAAAGATTTTCATAACTAACTTTGTTTTTATTTCTTTTATTTTAATATTTAAATGTCCAAAATAATTTAAAAAATGTCCATAATAATTTAAGACATTTTTGAAACTGCTTATAAAATGTTTACCTTAGTTAATGTAAAAGCATGCCATTCCAAATCAGAAATATCTGGACACTGTAACAGTATGTACTAAAAAAAATGCTTTTGATATTATCACTTCAAAAAATAATTACAATAATTAATGTTAAATTTATCTAAAGTAATGAGAATTTTAGCCATTTGTGAACAACTTTAATTTAAGACATTAAGATATGGTTGTTTTATAAACAATACTCTTAAAAAAACAATTTTTGTAATAGATAAATTTGAATATGTGTTTTACAAAGTTCTTAATTGTTACTTGTAAAATTTTATTTATAATTTTTACAAAAGTCTCTAAAATCATCCGTATAATAACCTAAATGAAAATATAAAACTTTTTCAAGCTACATTTATAACTACTGCTGTAAAAAAATGAAATATTGCTTGATGTCATGACCCAGAAAAGTCCTTTGGGGGTATGGTTGTACTATAATTAGTGGTTACTGGGATATAAGTCCCTAAAACTGGTTATAACGTCTGTGAAAGAAAATCCATTTTTAAATTTTGCATAAAATCCCATTAAATACATGGCTGATAAGCAACTAACAAAGTTGGTTTTAAGAATTTTTATTCATCCCAAAAACATAACAAAAATATTTATGCAGTAAATTCACTAGTAAATGACAAATTTTCTTCAATTCTTTCAAAGTAAAGTTTCAATTCAAATTGTTATTTCTTGAGAAAAATGTCTAAACTGATTTGTTATATTCCTAATCAATTTTTAAATAATTAGGAATATTACAAATCAACAAAATTCTAGGTGGTTGCTTGGTCTCTTGTACCTTTGCCAATTGTTACTGAAAAGATGGAGTGCTTCTGTTGCTTGCTCTGAATAAATTTCCAAAGAGCTATTGTGGCGTTGGGTGAAACATTAGGGCTGTTCAGTATGCTAATTTGTTTTCAGAACATAGCTAATTGAAGTTTTTCCCATTCAACTATCATATTGTGGTTCAAAAATATTTTTCACTAAATTTTATTATTTGCCCTGAAGGTCGCTCAAAGCCCCTTAACATTTGACAGGTCCCTAATATTGTTGAAAAAAAAAATATTTAAAAATATGTCAACTTGGTACTCAAAAGAAGCAAAATCATTTAAAAATTTCAAAAACAAAAAGTATTTTTTATAAAAAAAACAATATTAGGTTTTTTTGAATAAAAACTATGGTTTTTAAACGAAAAATGAAAAAAAGGAAATATTTACAACATTTTTAATAATAAGTTTTTTTAAGTTGTTTTTTATAAAAAATGAATCTAATTTTTAAAAGTTTTATAAAATTTTGCTTCTTTTGAGTACCAAGTTGACATATTTTTAAATAATTTTTTTTAAATAATATTAGGGACCTGTCAAATGTTTAGTGGCTTTGAGGGACCTTTAGGGCAAATAATAAAATTTAGTAAAAAATATTTTTGAACCACAATATGATAGTTGAATGGGAAAAACTTTAATTAGCTATGTTCTGAAAACAAATTAGCGTACTGAACAGCCCTAGTGGAACATGGTGAATGACAGCATGAACCTTTAGAGTGATGGTGGTGTCCTGAAGTTGTAAAAAGGAAGCTCTGAATCGCTCAATTTTTTCAGCATAGCTGTAATAAAAAACAAGAGCATTGCCAAAACAAGCATGGACAACACCATTGAATTTTCATAGTGTGTCAATAAAGGAAACAGCTAGAAAAAAGGAGTGCTGCTAGGCCAATCTCTCCAAAACATCCACATTCTTCAAAAGCTTCCTGCACTCATTTCCAGCCAGTTGTCCACCATAAAATGGCTGCTGTTGAATATGAAGTAATGCAAGCCATTTAGGAGCATGTGTCTAAAGCTTTGAGAGAGACTGTAGAAGATGATTTATGACACCAAGCAACAGATGAAGCACCATGGGTGGAAGAACATCAAGGACAAAAGATTCATCTGAGACATTGATGATGGGTTCATGAACAGAGTTTCTGAATGAACTTGCTTTCTTGATGTTAGCACCAGCCTCACTGAATGCCTGATTATCTCTTCTGATTGATTCAAAAGTTTTTAGAGATCCACACTTAGCAAGATCTTTTGATCTTGCTAAGTGTGAATCTCTAATCTTTTCACACCAGAATAGGACTGTCCTGTGTTGTGTTGCATATAAAGAAGATCTTTTGCTGTCCTTTGAAATAATTAAGAGAGGTTTTACATTATTATGCATTACATAGACTAAAAATATGAAGCCAAAACTTTAAATATCTAATACAATATTACCTGGAAGAATTGGAATAGAGTGGCCTCCAATACCCTCTGGTCAACTAAGACAAACTGTTCCATGGGGTGAAGCTTCCTTATTGGCAATGACTGATGCTGCAATTTTCTCAGCTGCAACAGAGTCCTTTGACACAACTTCTGCTAAACTCTTTCACAAGGTATACTTTGAGCAACTGTGTGGGAGACCCTTGCCAACTATTGAAAAGCTTTGAGAACATCTTCTTTCAACTGAGTTCTGGTTTGCTTTGGTTTTCTGGGTTGCCAAGACTGGATGTGAAGAATTGTGTTTTGCTTTGCCAACTGAGCAAATCAAACAATCACAAACTGAATCTCTTGTAACTGGACAGACTTTGATATTGAAGAAGTCAAACAGCTGTTGTTGGGTTTGAAGCTTCCCCTCCTCAAGCCTTCTAAGGTTGGAGCAGCAACGCTCACAAATGGATCATTAAAGTCAATTGGCTGCTTCAGAATTTGTTGCATTTTTTCTGTCATGAAGCTTGTTAAAAAGCAACTAGCTTTGCCAAGACACAAAAGCAATCAGTCTTCCTGTTCACCTCGTGGGTTTTTGCTCAATTTGGCATTTAATTTGTTAATTCAGATACTAAATCTATGAAAAAAATGGATTGAATAACTAATGCTCAAGCTTTTTCTGAGAATTTTATCATTATACTTTATAAAAAAGCAATTTCGATTTTTTTTTTTCCCCCCCACAAATATATGAGTGTATATTCATTTTTAAATTAAAAAAAGCTCTAATTTAAAAATAATAATCTATTTAAAAAAATTTTAAAAAAATTGAAATTGCTTTTATATAAACAATTTTTTTAACTTTTTTCCTAAAACAACTTAGTTAACACAATCTATCAAAATTTATGAAGTGGATGAAAGTAAAAGTAATAAAAAATAATAAAGTTTTATTGCTCTAGAGGTAAATATATTGCAGTTTTTTAAATGCCATTTTATGCAAATTTGAGAATGGATTTTCTTCCACAGACAGTGTAACCAGATTTAGGGACTTATATCCTAGTAACCACCAATGATAGTACAATCATACCCCCAAAAGATTTTTCTTGGTCATGACATCAAACAATATTTCATTTTTTTAAAAATAAAACAGCGTAACATCTTATTTATTTTATAGTTACTATAGTAATCTTTCGTCATTCTGCTGACAAATGTGCCTCTTATGTAACTTAGATTCAGACTGGCATGGAATCTTTCCCTCTTGACGATTCCAAGTCAAGCCTCACTTTTCTTTATGGTTTTCCTCACATTGTGTTGCTGCAATTTCCAGTTGAAACCATTACTTCAATATCTATCAGTAAAACAATTCTCCAGAAAACAGATGTTTGTTTACTATTGCTAGAAACCATTATAAAAAGGTTTTGTTTAACGCCAAAGCCCACTATTCTCACGTCATGAAATCTGACCTGAGAATAGTGGGCTTTGGAGAATCCTTAACAGTATCAATAATAAGGGCAAATCTGTTATTCCAGCTCTCTTGTATGGTTCAGATTTTGTCACCTCACTAAAAGACAAAGCTGAATCGTTTGCTAAGAACTTTTCATCAATATCATCGCTTGATTCTACTAGCTGTGTTCTACCTGATAAAGCCGATAAACAGGTTGATCCATTGCTTGACATTCGTATCACTCCAGCTTCTGCTACTTCTGCTACTATAGCACGGGGCTCCCAGTGGCTGGTGAATTTTAATTCAAATAAAAACAAATTTTTTTCAGTCAATTGTTATTGCAATAAACTAGATCTTCCTATAATTATGAATGGTAACGTATTCGATAAGTCATCTATTCTTCATCTAGGATTAACTCTTACTCTTTTGATCTTTCTTGAAAACCATATATCAAATCCATTGCAAAATTACTAAAGTTGCATACTACTAAGGTTTTTCTACTAAGGTTGCATCTCTTTATCAAGCTTGCCACTTTCTTACTCCTGATTCTATTCTTTATCTCTATAAATCTCAAATCCGTCATTGTATGGAATACTGTTGCCTTATCTGGGGCGGATCTTCCAATGATGCCCTTTCTCTTTTAAACAAGGTGCAAAAGCACATTGTAAATATAGTTGGACCTGGTCTTGCAGCCAACCTTCAACCATTATAACATCGTCGTAATGTTGTTTCTCTTTCTCTTTTCTGTAAATATTATAATGGGCACTGCTCTAAAGAACTAGTGTCTCTCGTCTCAAACATCAGTTAGCTTCCTTCATCTTGCTTTCCTGATTCATATAAATTGCAATCTTTTAAATTGTCTGTCAACTGGTATCTTTCTATAAACGTTCTATAAATTTCATCTTTTCTTTTTCAGAAACTTCCAACTCTAATAGTGGTTGCTTGTAGCCTTGTTAGAAATGAAGATGTGGAAAAAAAATAAACTCTAATGGCCTCTAATAGTCACAGTTTTTTATTATTTTTGTGCAATGTCATCCTAAAGAATTTTCTGAATTAAATAATAAAAAACTTTTTTACTCTATCTAGAGCCAAGAATCAATATCTGAAATTATAAATTCCTACAAATAGTTTTTATTTTTAATGGATAGTTTGTATATTTGAAAATTGTTTACTAAGATTTAATTAATGTTGGAGTTTTCAATTTTGCGATTATTTCAATCACAATAGTAAACTTTATGAAGAATCTTTTTTATTTTTATTGATAAAGCAGATAACTTTTTTTTTTTTATAGCACTAAAATACTTACTTGACCCGGTTTAGATTTAAAACCTTTCTTAAGCATGTGCAGTTCAATCATCTTGTCTTCATGAAGTATAACCTAATCAAAAAAAAACTTCTAAAAATACAAATGGCTGTGTATAACTATTAATATATAACCCTATATATCATAAAATAAATTTTAAAATTCCAAGTCATAACTAAGAAAAACAACAGAAAAAAAAGCAAACTAACACCATTAATTAAAAAAAACTTTTTAAATTAACAACTGAATATACACTTTTTAAAAATAAAATTAAGCTATATTATAATTTAAAATTAAAATTTTAATCAATTAAAAATCTTTTTCATTTTTATTTGGGTTATTATTATCATTTCAAAAATGCACAAAAAAATCTTGACTGACGGGACGGGAAATTTACGCAATACAATAGGTAATTATTTAAAAAAATAACTACAAAAAAGAACGAATTCTTAACAAAAAACAAAAAACTAACTAAAACAAAATAAATTACATTTAGAATTAATTATTTCTAATATTTTTTTTATAAAATTAATAGACACTCTTTTATATAAAGTAACAATTTACTATTAATGATCATTTAATATGGTAACAAACGATCTTTAATTCATCAAAGAGTATAATACTTCATTTATGTATTTATGTTTTATTTTAACAAGATTCCTTTAAAACTAATGCTAGTTGAATTATATAATAAATAAAAAAATAAATGTTTTATTATAACCATTTCAAGCTTTGCGTTGTTTGCAAACTTTAAATTATTTGAAAAAATTCTACTTAAGTATGATAAACAAAAAAAAATAATTGAACCATTGAGTTATATAATAATGATCTTTTAGCAGTGTCTTTAAATGTTTAAAAAAACTCAGACTATGTATACATTTATTAACTTTATATTTTACTTAATTTTCTTTTTTTAAACAACTAATAAAATAAATCATTGCTTAGTTTAAAAGCAATTTGCTAATATAAAAACATTTGATTGCAAAAGATTTTTTGCAAAGTTAATTTTTTCAGCATGTAGAAACTGTTTTTTTTAGACATATGGAAAATGATACATAATTTGAAGTGATACACAATTTGAATGTTCTCAAAACATCTAAAAAGTTGTGTTGCTGTGTGCCAAGTTGTTGCGACTAAATATAACTTGCATGGTCAGGAATAGAGTGTGATTGCACCCAGTTCCCCGCCAAGCATATATATATATATATATATATTATATATATATATATATATATATATATATATATATATATATATATATATATATATATACATATATATATATATATATATATATATAAATATATATATATATATATATATATATATATATATATATATATATATATATATATATATATATATATATATATATATATATATATATATATATATATATATATATTGTTGGAATGATAAAGACCCACAGGATTTTTAAAATATTACAAGAACCACTCAATGGTTTTAAAAATTTTTTATTTTAAAGCAAATTTATTACTTTGATTAGCACATCTACTGTAATCAATTCATTTGATTAGTGTAATCCACTGTTCTCCAAATTGACTGCCAGGTTGAAACTCTCCCCACTTTAAATTTTTTTGCATTTAATTAATCATATGCATTAGCAAACACAATTTAAGTTGTCAGAAAAATCTGAACTAAGTGCTAAGTATGTATATTTTTAAAGTTATAATTTTTTTCTTTTTTTTTTCGTAAGTTTAATTAAAGTCAGCCATTATGGTAGTCAAATAAGCTATTTATGGCAATGATATAATTGAATTACGGATATAACTTTCACTTTTCAACATGGCGTCAGACTTCAAATTATGTACTTGTGCAGTTTGCTTGATAAATAAAGGTATCAGATCAAAATCTTTAACACCTATAACACCTTCAGTGCGCGAAAAAATTCAAGAATACATCTGGCCAAACTTCGATTCTGATCTTGAAATTTGTCTTTCTGTAGTTTGTTCCAACTGCAGAAGAAACTTATTTAGTCTAAACAAAGGGGAGACTGCATATCTTTCCAACTGGTTAGAGACTATATCAAAGTTACTTTAATGTGGATGAATTGCTACTTTTTGTGTTTGTGTGGTTGTCTATATATATTATAAGTATGCACACACACTCATATATATATATATATATATATATATATATATATATATATATATATATATATATATATATATATATATATATATATATATATATATATATATATATATATATATATATATATATATATATATATTTATATGTATGTATATATATATTTATGTATATATATATTTATGTATATATATTTATGTATATATATATATATATATATATATATATATGTATACTCTTGCATGTCTCTTGCATGGCATCAAAAAAAGTTTCCCATAAACTGTAGTTTTAAAGAGCGCGTTAATAAACCAGACCAGAAAAAGTTTTAAAATTTTTTTTTTTTTTTTAATTGATAGACTGCCTGGCCAAACCAAACCCTCAGTCGATGTAGCACCACTCTCTTGCGAGTAAGGCTATTTGTCATTCGTTGTAGCAGCACTCCCTTGATAAAATCATGTAGTTTTTATGAATAAATATATTAGCACTGATTTAATTTATAAAGCACATTTGTATTTTAGATAAATAGAAATACTATTAGGAGAACCTCTTCACTGCAATGTATCCAGACAGATGTTGAGCCAGAATTGAATTTTTCAAGTGTGAATAAGAAAATCTGTGGGCTCTGCTATTTGAATCTTGGTATGTTAATACTATGATTTTATAATTTAAATAAGATTAATTGAAGTTTGATTCTCTTTATGTTACATTATAGTTTGATTCAATGTATTATTGTTTTTTTACGTAATTTCAAGCTACTGTTAAAATAGTTTTTTAACTTCTCACTATTACTTTTAGGTAGAGGAATTTCTCATGATTGTTGCAAAAATAAAGCTGTTAACAATATAATTGATATTAGTGAATCGCTTGGATATAAAGGTGCAGAGCAAGTAGCTTCTGGATTGTTAAAACGTAAAATGAAACGTGAAAACATTGTAAGTGGAGAGCAGTTCGTGTTGTCTACTGGTGGAAATCTTCTCTCTGTTACAGTTGGAGTAAATGAAAATAAGTCGAAAAGAAAGAAAGTAAATCAAGTTTCATTTCAAACTATTATGGAGTTATCGAATGTATTAGAACTCTCTAAGAACAAAACTAAAAAACTGTGTTCTACTTTACGCAGTAATCTAACTGGTGTAGAATCAAACATTAATATTAAAATGACTGAATTACAGGATACTCAAGAAACTTTATATGAATGTAAAACTGAAGAATTTCTTGACGGTGATGAAATAGTTGTTAGAGATATAGTTTATGTCAAGAATACAACTGAATTTATCAAATTTATAATTGATGAAAGAGGTATTGATACCCCTAATGCAATAGCAAGAATATCTATAGATGGTGGTCAAAACTTCCTTAAAGTTATTATTAATGTTTTTGATCCAAAAAATCATTATTCTTTATCCGAAATGTACGAAGATTCTGGTGTGAAATGTTGTTTTATCCTTGCGATTGTGGAGATGGTTTCAGAGGATAATGGCAATCTCCAAAAATTATTGGAACCTTTGAAACTCGAAGAAGTAGATTTTAGTTTAGCATTTGATTTAAAATGTGCAAACAGTGTTTTTGGACTTTCAAGTCATTCTGGCAAATATGCTTGTCTTTATTGTGAAGGAGAATGCTCCCTCAAAGCAGGGAAACTAAGAACATTGGGTTCCATAGACTTATGTTATGATCAATATGTATGTGAAGGAAAAAAAAGACTAAAAATGCAGGATTACAAAAATGTTATAAATCCTCGTTTAATATACTTAAAAGAAAATCAAGAAACAATTCTTGAACACATTGTTCCTCCTCCTGAGCTCCATATTATGATGGGAGTTGTGGAAAAACTTTGTACTATGCTTTTATGCGTTTGGCCATCTTTTCAAAATTGGTTAAAAACACATTACATATTAATGAGAGGATACCATGGAGTAGGTTTAGATGGAAACAATGCTAATAAATTTATGTCCTTGTTAGATGTTTTGGAGAGGGATGTTACCTTAACTGCAACGATTGATATTTTACCAATAATTAATTGTTTGCGTAAGTTTTCATTAGTAAAATCAGCAGTGTTTGGTTTAGAAATGGGTGCAGATATTTCTGCTAAAATCGAAGACTTCAAATGTTCTTTTTCAAGTCTCCAATTATATGCAAAAGATATTTTTGACTATGATTTGAAAGTTTCCTGGAAAATACATATTTTAGTGAGTCATATTCTTCCCTTTATAGAACACAATAATATTAGCTTAGGAAACTATGCAGAACAATGTGGTGAAGCTGTTCACCACAAATTTAAAAAAACTTGGGTGAACTATAAAAGAACTATAGGTCACAAAAATTATGGAAAAAAGCTAAAATCTGCTGTAGTTAATTTTAATTTAAATAATCAGTAGCATTAATATAATATGTGTTATATATTTATTTGTTATATGTGTTTTTTGTAAACGAAGTTAATAAATGTTGATGGTTTATTTTGACCACCATAATGGCTGACTTTAATCAAAAAGCAAAAAATTATAAGTTATAATTTTGAAAAATATGTACTTAGCACTTAGTTCAGATTTTTCTGACAACTTAAATTGTGTTTACTAATGCATATGATTAATTAAATGCAAAAAAATCAGGAGTGGGGAGAGTTTTAACCTGGCGGTCAATTTGGAGAACAGTGAATCACAGTTAATTATTGTAATTATATTTTATTTACACTTCGTTTTTCCTGTCTTAAAATATGTTGCTATCAAGCTAAAAAAAATTAGAAATTTTGGAAAGCAAAAGCTGAAAAAGCAGCTGTGTTGATAGTTAAAATAATTATATGACCCTGCAAACCCCCCACCCCCACCCCAACACACACACACACAACCATTTAACTTTAACAAGTTAAAGATTTTTTAACTTTTTGGATTGCTAACAAAATACAGGAATAATTGGAATTTTTTTATTTCTATTTTCTAAAAATGTAAACAATAAATAGAAATGTAAACACTACATTAAAATCATAAAAAAGAAGTTTTTATTTTTAGTTTTATTTTTAGCCTAGCGTGCATGTTTTCCAGAGTTAAACCAGAGCAAATTTTATCTAATGTTTCAAGACTTTAAAACTTTAAAGATATTTTTACTTACTATCTTTGAAAATAAAAAATCAATATATGAAAAAAAAAGGTTACTGTACATTTGCAACTTGGCAATCTTTTACAGCACGAAAAAGCCGAATGATTCGATCAATGATATACAAACATAAAGGACCAACAATCCATTTCCAAGTCTGTAATAAATTAAACAAATTGAAACTAAAAATTACAAATCATTCAAGAAAATTGTAATGCTCCAATAAATTACCTGTGGCACATTGGATTCAAATGAAGGGGCTTCTAAACAAATGGTACTGTTTTCCTTCCACATTTTCCGTACCAAACTGTGACACTCACGTGGATTTTTGTCCAAATTCGTTTGGAACTTTGTTATCTTTCTTTAAAAAAATAAGAAGGTAATAAATCAAATTAAATATCAAAAATCTTTTTTTGATACTATGTAGTGTACTTTGTATTGAACAGAGTATAAAAACAAATGTACTTCTTTAAATACAAAACTCTTTTAAATTATTAAACCTAAATGTTATCAAAACCTACCCAAACCCATGGAAACAAGCCAGTATTAAAAAAACAATTGTCAAATGGTGTGTGTACCAAAAAACTTCATAATTTTGTCTTCTTACAGCTTGAAAAGAAGTCAAAACCTAAAATAAAAAAAATAATGTTTAGAAAGTTTTTTAAAAATAAAAATACATATTTGTTAAAAAGAAGGCATAAGAATGACACTAATACAGATCCAGTTATATTTAAAAGATGAAAGCAGGATATTTCAAAACTACTCAAAGCTATTTTAAAACACAGATAAAATTGTTTAAAACACTTACAATGATAGCTAGAAGAACAAGCATGACAACCCCTGTCCAACCAGGAACTAAATAGAACATAAAATTTTTTTTATATATGTTTTTTACTAATTGTGATGTTAGAATAATAGGTTCTATTTCCCATTTTTAGCGCTGTGAGAATTTAACTTTCGATTTTTAATTATCTAAATGTTTTACAGTTGTTGTTTATATTGATAAAATATAAGTTATTTATGTTTTATAATTAATGTTACATTATTAATTTCATAATTTTTAAAATTGCTTGACAAATTTATTTTTAATTCCAGCTTTATTAAAAAAGGTTGAAATTGACAATTAAAAAACAAAAACTAACAAATTTTAAAGTTTTTTATTTATTTATTAATTTAATTGCTGTGGTGAGCAAATGCTCACTGAGTGGTAATCCACTTTAGCAGCAAGTTTAAAAACTACAATTTGAAATTTTAATTAACATAATATAGTTCATCAAGACTTTCTTCAAAGTTTAACACTGACTTATTAAGTTCGACATCAAACTGCAAATTGTTCCAAATTGGAATAAGACAATTGGAAAAAAAATTCCTTCTACTCAAGTGTCTACAAATCTCAGAAGTATATCTATGATTGTGGATATAGTCACAAACACTTCCAGCTGGTCAACAAGGATGGTCAACAAAAATTCCTTAGGGAAGATACTGTATTTAGCTGATAAGAATTATTAAGACATTTAAAAAAGTTAATTATATTGCTTCTTTCTCTTCTCATAGATAAGGTTGTTAAATTAAGCCTATTTAATCTTTCCTCATAAAGAAGCTTTTAGTCATGTTTCTCTATTATTAATTAGTCATGTTGCTCTATGTTGTACTCCTTTGATAAGATTAATGTCTTTTTTTATTGTCTTCAAGAACAACTCTTTGCCTTCTATTTGATAAAATGCTCAATTCATTCAAGAAGGAATGCCTTTAAACCGTACATTTCAATTTTTAATATAAGTTTTCTATGGTGAACTCTGTCAAATGCTTTAGAAAAGTCAGTAATGAAGATATCAATAAGATAATCTCAATCCACTGCTAGAGTTACAATATCTTGGTTTTCAAGTAAACTTGTTAAGCAAGATTTACCTGGTAAAAAACCATGCTGATTCTTATTTATCAAATTATTGTCTAAAAGATGCCAAATGATTTTTTTAATATTCTTTCTAAAATTTTGCATATAACTGACGAAAGAGAAACAGGTCCATAGTTGGAAGGATCAAACTTATCAAGATTTTTTTAAAATTGGAACTATCTTTAAGTCTCTCCGTACTTTTAGTACCATTCTCGATTTAAAAGATAGCTTTAAAATATGTTCACTAGGAATACTCAGACTTAAAGAACAGGTACTCAATACATACAGATGTACTCCATAGTTCCCACAGGATTTGTATTTATCCAATGATTTTAATTGTACAAGAATTTCTTTTAAACTGATTATTTTATTTATATCATTTTCACAGTGAACATGAGTAACAGGATCAAAACTCGGTAAAGCTTTGTTATCATCTTCAGTAAATGCAGATTGAAAATACATGTTTAACAAATTTTTAATATCTAAAAGGCTATCACTCGCAGTTTCATCTGGAAACCTTAAAGTGTGAATTCCTTCTTTATACTTTTGTTTACTGTTCACATATTCATAAAATCTCTTAGGATTTGATTTAGAACTTATGTTCAATTTGTTTTAAAGCTAAGGATTTGATGTAAGTTCAGAAACACGATTTGAATTATCTGTAAATATAAGATCAAGAATGTTAGTCAAATCTTTATTCGTCTTTTGAAATGTTGGAAAAAATACATTTTGCGACAAAAAGCAGTCGTTTATAGTTTCTGTGAAATGAAATTCTGAACTATTTAGATCTGAACATGTACCAGTGAAGATATCATCAACCTATTTTATATTTGGAAAATTAAAGTCCCCGGTCAACAAAAAACCTGTAAAAGTACTATCATCATAAACACGTTTAGCCGCTAGAATAGATTTACAGAGGTTTGAATTGTTTGCTGAGTTAGAAAGTCTGTAGACACAACAAACTAATATTTTTTCAAATTCATATTTGAGTCCATACCATATTTGTTCAATATCTGGATAACATTGAGTTAATCAATAGAGTTAATTTCAAAAGTTATAAGATCTTTTTGTGTATAGATACAAACTCTACCACCTGTCCGTTAATTTTGTCCTTTCTAAAAATATTAAAATCATCCAGCTTTGAAACTGATTCTGCGTTAAACCACATTTCTGTCACCATTATAACATCTATTTTACTTAACTGTGTTAATACTGAAAGTTCATTAAGTTTTTTTATTTAATGAGGTTGCATTTGTACATAACATTTTAAGTTTTTTTTTATTGTTGTTTGTTAATCTTGACAATATATTGCCTCCGAATCCCATAAACAAAGGTATCCATATTTTGCAGAGAGTTATTTTTCTTTTTTTTTTCCTGTCTTAAAGTATAATATAAGGTTCTTTTGGCTAATGTTTTATCTGGGTTAATGAATATATCATTCAAATTTTCGTGTGAGCATAATTCCTTTGCTGCCGCAAGTATAGTATTTCTTTGTATTTTGTCCTTAAAGCGTACTAAAATTGGAGCAGGTTTTTGACTAACAATTTTTTTTATAAATCTTCTCACAAAGACCGGTGAACATGGTTTTCCGATTGTGTTAAATATCTCTTCCACAACATTAAAATCATTAGCTTATTTTTCCAAATCGCTTGTTGCACCAGATTTTGTTACACCAAATATTATTATATTAGCTTCCTTATTTTTTCATTCATTTTGTTCTATAATTGACGTTTAGGTTGACTAGTTGTGTTTCACTTTTTTTTTCCATGAACAACTATGTCTGCCCATTAGGGGGCAGATGTTGTTTTTGCCTCCAATGCCTCAATTCTTTTTAATAATTTTTCTATTATTTCTTGTTGTGCATGCATTATTACGGTTAGATCAATAGTTTTTAAAGTTTCATTTCCTTTTAATTTATCCATCCTTGTTAAAATTAGTTGATAATATTAACAATGCAAATGGTTATAACGATGCACTCTGACGTAAATAACAAGTTTTAGTTTCAATAATATAAATTTTTTAACTTAATTTTTAAGTTTCCCACTCAAAAAAATGTATTTTGTTATTTTCTCCACGATCAAAAACAATTTAAAAAAAATGTATATTAAGTTAAATCTATAATGTAATTGAAAAAACTTCAAACAAAAGCAATAAAACCAAATATTCACGACTTCTAATACTTCTTATATATATTGAGCATCCAAATCAAAAATACATCTAATCGCTTCAATAGCAGTATTTTTAAAGTATTTTTGATAAATAATAATAAAAAGAATAATATAATAAAATTATATAATTTTCAACACAAAAATAAAATTATAATTAAAAACAGAAATTTAAATTTCTTTACCATGAAATTTGGAGATAGAACCCTTTAATTCTCAATTACCGATATGCTATTTTGTCTCATACCAATTTATATTCCTTAATAAATAATAAATGTTTATTCTAAGCAATAATTTTAACAAATTTGATATTTTGATCTTTTAATTTAAAGATTTTAACAAATTCTTTTAATTTTAAAAATTAAAGAGAGTATAACAAATTTTGTCTAATTCTCTTAACAGTACAAAAGTGAGATAGAATCATATTATTCTAACGTCACGTAATTGATAACTATAATTATAAATAGAATACATTTGATAAAATTCTAACAAGAGTGCTACAGGTTTACAGGTTTCAAACTATTTGAACATTTGAAAATGATTAGTATTATTATACAAACCTATCCTTTCAACTTGGTCTCTCTTATGTCTTAGTTAAATGTAAACTAATATGAAATCAATACAAAGAACTCTATATTTTCAATGTTACCAATGTTAAAATTTTATTTCTTGAACAAAGGTATTTTTTCATCTTTATATAAGTGCATGCAATTTAGTTTAATTGTTTAAAAGCCACTTTGACTCATAAAAAAACATAAGAAGAGAGCAACTATCAGTCATTTTGTATGACAAAAGGTTTTGTGAATATTTTATTTGACAAAGTGAACAATAATTTGTTGTTTTCTTTAGTCAAGTGTTTGAGTAAATTCAAGAGACTTTGATGATCAGCCACTATTTCATGAACTGTCATTTTCCCTTGTATCAAAAATCATACTAGAATACAAACCTTTTGATAAAACAAGCCAAAGTGTTGTTTCTTTTTTTGAACTAGCAACATTTATAGCTTCTATAGCTTCTGTGAAGTTTAAATGAAACCGCAAGCTGTTCACCAAGTGTGAAAGTGTGTGAATAACTTAAAAAGAGAATAACAATAAATTAAAGACAAAATTTTACTTCAAAAACTAAATCAAATAAAAAACGATAGCCCCTCTGTAAATCCTGTAAATAAAATTTTCCTAAATTTTCTCTAATTATATATTAAATCTAATTGTATATTATATCTATTTATATATTAGATCTAATTATATATTAGATCTAAATTTTCTCTAATTATATTAGATTTTGAATCTTTATAATAAACAAATCAGAATAAGCAAATTTCAAGGTAAAAAATCAATTGCTTTATTTACTTAGCCACTACTTGGAATTTTTAAAAATATCAACTAGTTCATACATATTTAACTTTTTTTCTGAAAAATATTTTAAGAATAATTAAACTTCTTAAGCCCAATTTTACTGAGGACTATTATAAACTACAAAGCAATTTTACTGAGGACTATTATAAACTAAAAAGCAATTTTACTGAGGACTATTATAAACTACAACTGGGACAAAATATAAATAAAACAATAATTAAGTATAACTAAGTATATATATTTGAATTTAAATAAATTATGTCATAACTTATTTTCTTATTTTGAACAAAGTTACAGTAATAAAATAAGTTTGATCAACAGATTAACATGCAAAAAATGAATGTTAAAAAAATATAGAAAACAAAAATGCAAAAACTTTAAAAAGATGTTTTTATTTAACAGACTTACTGATTTAAAAAATCTAATTTTTTTACAACTTTTTTTACTGTGATATACAAGATATTTAGACTATTTATTAATAAATTTCAAAAAGTTTATTTTTTACTTTAAAAAAATGAAAACCCTAAACTTTTTTCTGTTTAAGTTAGTATATAACTATAAATGCATGTTTAGATAAGCAGTGTGATATCATACTGAAATAGCCTACTGCCGGGGGCTTCAATACATACATCGACTATCTTATATCCTGCTGTTGCAAAGGAGTGCCACTATATCAACTGAGGATTCGGGATCTTTTCTTTCATTATTTTTAGTTTATTTCTTCTTTTTCTAAAAAAACTGATGTTATAAATATAAGCAAAACTAGTACGCAACTGCTGACCTATATATTCTATAGTAGATATATATGCCTAGTGTAGATTTCAAAACACTTGTTTTTATTTAACAGACATTCTGATTTAATAAATCTAATTTTTTTTTTAACATCTTTTTTTTACATGGATAAGTATAGATTTTATCTATATTTTTGATAATATATATGTTTAAGTATGACATTTAAACTATTTTTAAACTTATATCAACTTACTTAAAGTCAATAGGTTTTGGTGTAAAATCATCATAAATAAGTCTCATATTTTAAATTAGAAAAAATATAGTAAAATATAGTAAAAAAATAAAAAAAATTTAAAGTAAAACCTATTTAAAGTTAAAAATCACTATAAATCTTTTAAAAAAATTTCCTAAGATAAAATTTTAATTATAATTAATAGTAGTTGCTTGAAGCTTTGTTAGAATAAAATTAAAAGAAAAAACTAATCTTAGTTTTTTAGCCCAAAGTAAAATGCGATTGATGATAAAATTTTTCGCAGCACTAATATAACAATGATTAGATGAGATGCTATATTGAAATCACTAAAAAACTACTCCAATAATTTTTTTCCTTACTTCAAGCAGTAATGGTACTTATAGACAACTATTAGTTTTAGTAAACTTTTGAATAAATACTAATCCAAAGAGTCCATGACTTTAAAATTAGTAACACGACATTCAAAGGCATAATCAGTTCGGTCTCAGGTAATAATTTATTGTAAAGTAACTGTATGAAGAACTTTTTGAACTAACCCTCCAGATTCTATTACAGTTTGGATGAATAATAGACCTGGTTTTAGATAGCAGTGAATTTACTCTATTCAAATAACATTGCAAATCCAAACTTTACAACTAAATATATTTTTTAATTGTATTTTTTAACAAAATAAGAGTTCAAATTTTATGTCACTAAATACTGCCATCATCACCTGAAGTTAATTTACTAATTTTTAACTTACCTGATAAGATACACATTGTAAATGCACACAAAATATGAAGTCCTTTTAAATGGTTCACCAAACGTCGAGGGTTGCTGTGTAAATACTAAACAGTATCATTTTTAATTAGGAAAAAAAAAATTTCATACAAAATGGATTAATAAGCACACAGTAGTTGTTACAGAATCTAACAAATACCTTATGGCTATTATTCCTATAACAAAAAACCACAAAAATACATTTTTTTCAAATTTATTCTTAAATATAACTAAAATCTATAGATATAATATTTAAATTGAAATTTCAAACAATTATAACTGTAACTACAACAACTAATAAAAATAACATTATAAAAGAAGTCAATCATAACTTATATTTGAAAGTTATATTTGAATATAAAATTAAATTTTTTAATTCTAGCACTAATAATTAAAATATTATTTGAATTTTAATACCCATACTTAGCAGCAAAAGTAGCCTTTTGTAGCAAAATCTTCTTAAGATATAAGGTACTTTTAGTGATTTAAAAGGATCAACTAATTTGTCATCATGGATAAATCAAATCATTTGTCGAATGAAATATTAGAATTAAAATTGAAAACTTTCTTTCTAAATTCTGTTATTCTTATAAATAGCATAAAATATTTTTTAAGTATACTTTTTTAGCAATCTTGCAAGTCAGTAAAATTGAAAAGACATGAACATGTATAGTTAAATTGTATTATTTATTAAGCTGGTGTTTTTGCAAAAAAATTATTTGTTTTTAATTTATTTTCTTGTTTAAAAACAATTTTGTATAATTTAAATTTTTTTATTCTTATGTAACTCTAAAATGAGTTTTAATTTTTTTTTTAATAATTGTTATCATATTGTGCTTATTATTAACATTGCTGTTAAATGTTTGATTTCTAGGTTCAAAAAAAAGTATGCTTAAAGATTGTTGTGTTGTAGGAACTTGCAGTAACAATAAACATTATCCAGAGTGTTATAAAATAGATAGTAACGTTACATCTGGAAAAAAATTTTTTGAGGCAAAAATTGCCAAAAGATGAAAAAACAAAGAAAGCATAGATTCGCGGTGTTTCTAAAGGATGAAAACACTAAGTTGTACTAAAACATTTTAAAGTCTGCTCTAATCATTTTATTTCAAAATCAAAAATGATAAAATTCTAAAAATAATATTCATTTCGAAACAAAATTGTTATTTTTGGTTTTATTACATCAAAAATTGTTTTTTAAGAAAAAATAAAAAAAATGCATTTTTTTATGTTTTTTTATGATAATTTTGATAAATTAGTTAAAGATATTTCGAAATGAATATTATTTTTGAAATACTTATATAATTTTGCTTCATTTGAGTACCAGGTTGACATATTTTTGAAAAACTTTTTTTTCGAAAATATTAGGGACCCATTAAATATTCGAGGGTCTTGAGGGACCCCTTGAAATATTTTTTATTCAAAAAAAATTTAAACCTAGTGTTTTTGTATTGTATAGAACACATTTAGGGGGTGAGAGCAGATTATTTTCAAAAATGTTGTTTTTTGGGACACCCTAATGTGGAGTAAATATAAACATTGTCCAACAGTCAAATTTTTAATAAAAATAACTCTAAATGGACCCTGCCTACCATAAAGGCGAAGTACATTTTAAAAAAAATTTTTTTAGATTTATATTTTAATAAATAATTGTTAGATAATTCAGCTACTCTCATCTCAATATATATGTGTGAGCAATTAGCGTGTTTTTCTTTTCTCAAAAACATTTATAATGGTTTTTCACTCATAACTAGCAAAGTCAATTTTGAAACAAGAATCTTAATCGTCATAAAATTTTCTACAAAATAGCCTTTTTAGTTTAGTAAAATTTAATTTTAGGAGTTTTGAAGCAGATTTTATTGAAAAAAAAAATTTTTTATATTAGGGTGAGAATAATTAAGATTGGCAATTTTAAAAACTTAAAACAATTTTTACACCTTTCGATAGAGCATAAAATTCTCTACAATATAGGGCTTTGCATTTTTGATGATTTTTTGTTTTAGCTTTCAATAAATGCAATATAAAAATTATATTTATAAATATAATTTTTTTTTTTTTAATTTTACAAAGTGCAGTGAAACCAAGCACAATGCATTTCACACTGAATACTGTTATTTTGGTTACATTTATTAGGAATTGTCCATAAATTACATAACACAAACTTTCACAATAAATATCGAAATAGCGGAGTTTCAAAAAGGATTCCAGATTTGAAAGTCAGAAAAAGATTACTTTCTCCTAGGTTTTGGTATCCAGGAGCTCTAAAAAATTAGAAAATTTATGATTAGTTAATGAGAAAAAAATTGAGACTTTTAGTTTAGTTTTTTTTTTTTTTTTTACAAGTTTTTTTTAGTTTAGTTTTTTACAATCAATCTTTGAACCCTGAGTCCTTAGGTATAATAGCGCAAGGATTCTGGGACTCCAGGCTTAAAAGCAATAAGTTTCAAGTCATTAAATCTCATGAATTTTATCCTTATAACAGATCATTAGTCAACCAATATGTTAAGAGCTTCTGAAGACCAGGAAAAAATAGAGATATAAAGCTGGAATCTTTTTGGGACTCCACATCCTTAAAAGTAATAATGCTAGAGAAACATATGTTTTAAAAAATGTTTTAACTTGTTTCCACTTTATACAAGACCTCTTGATCAAGTTCAACTACTTCAACATAAAATCCTAAAGTTTCCAAACAATAAAATATGCTGACATGCAATTTGTGATTTGCAAATTTGTGAATTAATTTGAGTGTAATATTTAATACGATTTTTATTTAATGCTATTTGATTACTTTTTATGGTAAAAAAAATCACTATCTTTTTCTTTAATTGTTTTATTAAAAATTACAAAAAGTCATCTAACTTCCAACTTCCTTCTATGGCATTTGCATAGGGAAGAGCAGGTAGGATTTGTACAGCGAGAGCATTCGTACAGTAGGCATATCTAGACCATTCTTTGTTTTGACACATTTATATTTATGTGTGTGTGAAAACCACTCATGCACAAAGGCTAACAGCTTAGTGCCGTGGCAGTGCCATCGTAATTGTCATTGGAACAAATCGATACATGTTTTTGCACTGCTAAAGTAATTTTACAAATAATATTTGAAAACATTTATTTGTAATAATTTTTGATCCAATTAATGAAATAATTTATTATGCTTTTTGTATAAGTGTCTTATAATAATATTTAAACAATAACTTTCTAATAATCTTATCCGTTATTTTTATTTTGAATTTATATGTTAGTTGTTATGGTTGAGGCACATTCGTACAGTAACGTGGTGAGGATTCGTACTGTAAATATGTATGAAAAAATCCACGCAGCCTGTTCTTTCGCATTTAAACAGACAGCTGTAACTGATTTCTAGGAGAACCTAGAAAAGCTTTTGAGAAAATATGTATTCTCTGCAGATAGGATATATAATTTTATTTTTATCACATTTAATATTTATTTTGTTTCAATATTAATCTTAATAAATGTTTATTTTCAATAAACACATTTTTAACTTAGTAATAAAGTACCGAACAAAAAACTGAACGAAGCTACCTCGTGTTTGGGATGCTTTCCCACAATCTCCATTTTTTTGCAAAAGACATCATAGTAGTGTCTTGTTAGCTTTTTTTCAAAACTAAGCTACAATATTATTCAAGCCAGATATTTAGGTTACTCAACAGCATTAAAGTTATTTTAAAATAGCAATTATTTTTGCTTTTATACAACTTAATATAAAAAGTGTACGAATCCTACCCTACTACAAATCTATCAGTGTCAAGTGATATATGATCTTTCATAAAAAAAAAAAGACCACATCTTTCACTTTTAAAATTAGTGTGTTTTGATACATGCTCTGCATAAAACTTTTTATAGCAATTTATAACATGAATAATTCCACATTTGATAAAAACAGTAACAATATTTTTTATAAGGGTATGAAATATCAGAAAAAATAGGAGTTGTTTTAGGCCTTTTAGAACTGGTATTTCTAGAAAGAATGTTAACATATTGGTATATATATTATGATATTTGGATGCAGTTATTCTTACCTTTTTCATTTGAAACCAGGTATTGTATTTGGCTTGATCTCTCATGTTATATTATGTACTTTTAATTGTTTCATCTGTCAATACCATTTTGGCTAAAAATATTATGCCTAAAGTCGTCTTATCTGCATTAGGATGGTCAGAAAGTATTTTAAAAGATAATTCCTCAAGATTACTTTAAATATTCTTTAAATGTTTTAACTTTTGATTTGAATATTTCAGCAGAAGGCCTGGGTATATAAATGTTGTTTAAAAAAGTGTAAATGAATGTTTATTCAAGTCACTTGAGATTTTTACTTATTATTCATATCATTATTTGCTTCATTACTAGTTATTCTTTTTCTAACATATATGTCAGGTATTAAACATGGTTTGATATTTTTTTGAGAGAAACTCCATTTTATAAATTGGCGCAAAGAAAGTATGTTGCTCTTACTAAAGGCAATCTAAAGTTTACTTTTTTTCTTGAATTTTTGCAAACCACAAACTTCGGAATACAAATACTTCGGCAAACAAAGTATCTTTTTTAAAACTTAAGTGCATAATAGGGCCAACAAAACCACTATCAAAAAATGAAAATGCTCTTTGTTCCTTTTACTAGCTAATATATTCTGTGATTAATATATTTTTTTAAGAATATGTAAAAAAATATTTCCCATTGTTATACTAGGTCACTCAGCTATTGTCTTTTTTGTTTTCCAAAAGTATAGAGTTTAGATCATTTAGATCTAAAGCTTTGAGTTTGTTTGCATATAACTTTTCAATTATTTTCTCCTGCTCCTCTGCTGTCTCAATAAAATCTATATTTAATTCTAATGCAGAAAATGTTCTACCAACAGGCTCAATTTTACGTCAAGTTGTGCTTAACCCTTGCACAGCTATAAAAATAAATAGCTGCTTGGCTAAAAAACCTTTGTAATTTTTAAGTGGAATGTTAAAACACGACGTATTTTCAAACAAACTATTTGATTGATAATTTGATTGATAATTGATACAATAAAGAACTTTCTCAAAATGTTTTGTTTACAATTTTAAAACTCCGAGAAAAAAACATTATACCACGTGATTCATAATTGCCACTCTTTATTACGAAAAGGACTATAATGTTATAGCGGGTCGTTATAGCGAAATGTTTAAAAGCGAAAAGATGTTAAATCACCGCGAAGTGCATTTGACCAAGTAGTTCACGTCTCTTTCCTAACCGTAACGCGAAAATATGTCCAGAGCTCGTTTCGAACCTGGATCTCCTGCTTATAAAGCAAGCGCTCTAGCCACTGCGCCACGGCCACAAAATCAGCCTGTTCTTATATCCCAATCAATGTGTTAACGTTTATTAATTAATAAAATAAAAAAAGTATAATAATGTATATTACATGCATATATATATATATATATATATATATATATATATATATATATATATATATATATATATATATATATATATATATTACAGTGACGGATCCAGGAATTTTTTGGGGAAGGGGAAAATTGGAAATTTTTTTTCACATTTGCGTCTCCTAAAAAAAAAAGGTTAAAATATTTTAGGACTTTCAGAATCTGGTGGGAGGGTGATGCATACTCCCATTCCTCCCCTCCTCTGGATCTTGTATGTATATTTATACAAATATATATATATATATATATATATATATATATATATATATATATATATATATATATATATATATATATATATATATATATATCAGGCCTTGCGATGAATAAGAACAGCGCGACGCATAAGCACGACGTGATTTTTGACGTCATTAAATTCTTTTTATTTGCTTTTCATATTTATCGACATTAACTGCACCAATTTACTTAATTACCGCAAAACTACTTTAAATCGTTTATGTAGAAATGTTATTATTTAAAAATGTTTTGGAATGTTTCGTTTTTTAAAATGTAAAAACTTTGTTTATTTTCTCGACGTTTGTCACGTTTTGTCTATACTAAACGAATAAAAAACATTATAACTTAAATTTAAAAAAGATTATAAAATATGCTAATATTTGATTTTTTTTTTCTTAAATATGTAATTTAAAGTTTTTCAAATAATTATTTTTTCTTTTTAAAAAGTCAGCGTGGAAATTTTAATATTGTACGATTAAAAACTGTGCAATAGCTAATATTTTTTACAAGCGATTTTATATAATATTTATTTATTTTTATTTATTTTCATAAAGCGGTTGATAAGCACAATCACTCGTATTAATAAAAAACTTAAACGAACGTTTTGAATAGATTTTTAATGTTAACAAGGAATTTTATTTCTAGTAAAAAAAAAATATGTTAGAATAAAAATTTTTTAGGAATAAAAGAAATATTTCAGCGAAAAAATTATTCTTAAAAATTATTCGAAAAACTATTGACGTTCTATTTTTCAGCAGCTGTTCTTGAGCACGCTTCGTTGAGTTTCGGTAACCTTTAACGTAAAAGCGATCGTTATTATTTAAGTAATTTTTTTGAGTTACTTTTTACAAAAATTTTAATAACTGTACTTTTTTATTGAATCAAGTAGAATACGTTTTAATATTAATCCTTTTTTATTTTTTTATTTGCCCTCACCAATTTTTAAAATGTTTTCTCGAAATTACTCTTAAATACTTTAAATACGTCTAACAGTTAATAAATATTTTTAAATCTATGGAATAATTTTAAATCCTAACAAACCCCCGTAAAATAATTATTTAAGTTTAAAATCTAAAACTAAAAGAAAGTATTTTTGTTCAATTTTAATTAAATGTTAGATAATTTTAATTAAATGTTAGCTTAAAAGATTTAAACTTTTTTTTTAATTTTTGATTTTTTTTTACTTGTAAATAATGAGCATATTTAATTTTTTTAAATTCAAACTTTTTCAACTGCGTGCGGTTTTTAAAATACTTTATTAAATGTTAAAATATTCGTAAATTACTTCATTAAAATTCCGCTCAAAAATATCTTTAAATATACTCAAACAAAAAATTTTTTGCTCGACGCAAATAGCCCTAGCTACACGCAAAATCGCTCTTGGACGACGTAAAATTCACATCGCCCGACGCTTTATCGCAAGGCCTGATATATATATATATATATATATATATATATATATATATATATATATATATATATATATATATATATATATATATATATATATATATATATATATATATATATATATAATTTTTTTATAGCTAAATTAAGGCATTATTTTGATGGTGTCTTGATAGATAGATGATGTGTTGGTTACAAAATGACGAATACGATTATATTTAAGTATTTTAATACTTATAAAATAAGATTTTTTAAACTGCAAAAACTTACCTTTAGAAGCTTTGTTCGAATCCATGAAATTATTGTTTTGCACATCGGGATAAGTATAAGTGCTAAATTAAAGTTAATAGCCATGGCGCATGCTCGAGAAACACAAATAGATTCCTATAAATCATAAACATGCGTTTACTTTTTCAAAAATTAATATTTATTTTCAGATATCATCAGATTTTAAATACTAATGACGCTAAAAGTAAAATTCATGCTTTATTGATTTTTATGCAACCCTATAATAAGTTCAATGGCCCTCAATCCTAGTATAGACTCGGACTTTTTTTACCCTGTCAATCCCTTCGCGGCGCCTCTTAAGGTGAGTTTTGTGGTAGTATATTCCATCCGACGAAATATTCCATCCTTTTGCGTAAAACTCAAAACGAGGATGTGTTTTTAAGTTATAGCCATTAAAATTGTTCCGAAAATATTACATCCACCACATTACCATATCACTTCTTTAATATTAAAAATAAATTGCTACATATATTAATCGTATTTCTGGTAATACTATATATGTGACCTTAAAAATAATTTATTTACTTTTATAAATAGTGTTAAGCTAAATCTGTGTTTTGTTTCATTTCAGACTCAGAAGGAACATTTCTAACAACTATAATTTAAATACACATCCTCGTTTTGAGTTTTGCGCAAAAGGATGGAATATTTCGTCGGATGGAATATACTACCACAGTTTCCACTCATCCGTTTTTCTACGGGAAAAGGAAAGAGAACGGAAAAATAATCATGTGAGCATGCGCAGTTTTTTTTCAGACAAATAAAAAACTTTTATTACGCATGCTCACGTGATTATTTTTACCTTTCCTATCCCGTTCGCGTAGAAAAACGGATGAGTGGAAACTCGCCTTTAAGGCGCCTTTAAGACTCATCCGTTTTTTTTACGGGAACGGGAAAGGGACGTTAAAAATAATCACGTGGACATGCGTAGTATAAGTTTTAATATGTCCGAAGGAAAACTACGCATGCTCACGTGATTATTTTTCTCTTTCCCGTAAAAAAACGGATGAGTGGAAACTCACCTTTACGTAAAACGGAATTATGTAGAATGTCACGTTTTAAGAAATTTGTCTTGAATAAAATTTCCGAAATTATGACCGAAATTCAATTCTCTAAGAATTTTTATTTAAAAAATTTGTAACGTGCTTTTTTTTTTTTTTTTTTCTGGTTTCGTAATTCTTGAAACTTTTATATTTTTTTAATATTTAAGTGATATAAGTATATTTTGTAGAAATTTTATAAAAATTACCTTTAGAACCATATACAAATAATGATACTTGTCTGATTTGTAGTATAGTAAATATGTTGAAGTGAGTAAATATATGTTTATTGTCAGCCATCCAGCCTGTGTTAAATGAAAAGAATGGGTTTTTAATGAATTTTAAATACATTAAACAATGTGCTTTTATTAAATATAATAAGTAAAACAAACGAAACAAAAAGATACTTACCAAAATTATTGTCTTCAAAAAGTTATTTTGTACCATAGAGCGGATATTTATACCCATTTTAAGTTTTTATTTTCATTATTTAAAAAAACAAATTCGTAATATATTTTATAATAAAAAAAATCTACGTTTTACGTAACACGGTTTAAAAAGAATGTTGCGACAACATTAAAGAAGTAATTACGTAAAAGTAATTATAAAAAGTTAACACTGACTAAACACGTAATTCTATTTTTTATTCATTGTTGGATCGCCACAATATATTTATTAATATTTGCTGTTTATAAATAAATGATTACATAAGTTGTATTTTTAAAAGTTTATTCTCAGAAATCCTTATAAAAATTAATCTTATTACAATTACCTATCTTTCATAAAATATATCTCTTTTAAGAATTTGTTTTAAGTAAACAACATATCTCTTCATTATATTAAACTTAATTATTATACTTAGGTTTTTATTATACTTTAACTTTTAAAGTGCGAAAATACGCAGCTTTTACACGAGTTAATTTGTAATTACTTAGGCTTTAAAGACCATAACCACATGTGATTAAATGTTAAGTCATTAAAACGCAATATTCAATAAATATCAAAAAAAAAAACACATCTCATTTCTCAATTTGTATTTGATACATTTTTTTGTCTGTCCGCTTTTTTAAGCTTACTTTCTAACACAACTACTTCCTGTTTTATTAAATGAACTGTTTTCTTAACTTACTTTGTTCTTCACAAAAGTCACTTACTCTTAGTCCGTGGAGGTGGATAACATTGCTCTGTAGAGAGCAGAATCTGTTTTCTTAGTGAAACGATTTTACAAATAAAATAAGGGAGGCCAGTTAGTACCTTAAAACGTACCGACTAGCTCCTAAAAAAAAAAAAAAAGTCCCCGAAACTAAAACTCACTCGACTGAGATGTCAACCCCTCCTTCCGTAAAATCGCCTCTGCCTCCATATGGCAATTTTCCTGACGAGGATTACCTTCAATAGACACAATAAAGACTCATATAAATATTTTTTCGAGTCTTTATTAATTAAACCATTAATTAAGCATCTGTGGTAAAACCACAGGTGCTACATTTTTTTCCTTTTGAGAAAAATGAAATTTAGTCTTTAGTGACATTAGATATCTGTTTATTAATAATGTATTTAATTAAAAGTATATTTTTATGATATTTTAGTCCTAAAACAATATATAAATGCAGTTTTTGTGCTAAATACAAGAATTATTTATTCAGAGTGTTCTTTTAAAAATAAGACACTCATTTTGGACATCTCTGATTTTTCCGTTGTAAATTTATCAACTCATAAATCACGTTAGCTTATAACCTTTTAGAACACTTATTTTTTTAAAGGTAGATAGTAACACGTGTGATGGGATAATAAATTCGTCCCCCTCCCCCTTCTTTTTTTTCTAAAAGAAAAAAAATTCAAATAAAAAATTATATGATTTTTTTTTTAACTTTATACTATATAGCATTGCAACCTTATCTCTTCCCCAACCTCATCTATTTACCATAAATGATTCCATGATGTATGTGTTTCATCACTTTATATCAAGTTTGTATAAACCATACAAAAACCAACTGTGAACAACACGTTAATAAAAACATATTTTTTTTAATTTCAAAGAAAAATAAAATAAATTTTTCAATGTCGTATTTTGTCCACTTAGAAAATGTTTAGCTTCAATAAGTCTTTATTAATAAATTTTTACCAAATAAGAGGCAATAGAGCTTTGTATGCTTGTTTCAATTTATCAGGCACTTTGATCTTTGATCTAAACATATAGGATGTAACACACACACGCAGCAAAATCCAAAATTCTTGTTTTAAGCAAAAAAAGTCTTAAAACAAGAAAAAATGACTTGTCCGCCAGGTAAGAAGAATATTTTTTCTTGTTTCAAGAATTTTTGTTCTTAAAATAAGATTTTTTTTTCCTGTTTATAACTTTTTTTCTTAAATATTTTTTTTTTCTTGTTTCAAGAATTTTTATTCTTAAAACAAAATTTATTTCTTGTTTCAAGAATTTTTATTCTTAAAGCAAGATTTTTTTTTCTTGTTTCAAGAATTTTTATTCTGTTGTTTCAAGAATTTTTATTCTTAAAACAAGAACTTTTTTCTTGTTTCAAGAATTTATATTCTTAAAATAAGATTTTTTTTTCTTATTTCAAGAACTTATATTTTTAAAATTATGTATTTTTTTCTTGTTTCAAAAAAAGGAATATAAATTCCTTAAAAAAAAAAAGTTATTTGTTTCAATGTTACTTTTATTTAAAATAAGATTCTATTTTTTTGTTTCAATAATATTTCCCCTGAACTATAAAACAATATTACAAAAGTACTTTTTCTATGGAAAAAATGAAACATTATTTTGAAATTAGGATGATATATAATAAGAATATTCAAAAAGCATTTATACATTTAAACAACAAATCTAATCGTTGAAATAACAAATTGTTCTTTGAAATGTTTTATTATTGTTCATGCTTGTAGTGGCAATATTCCTCCCATGTCCATGGCAAGTGTATTCCAATAAGTTCCATCACGAAGTCAGAAAATGAAAAACTTCATAAAATAATCTTTTGCCACACATAATAATCACTTCATCTCCATCGTCTGTTACGTACAGATAAGGATTTTTTAAATCTGAAAATAAATTTTACAAACTCAAAATTATTATTTATATACAATTGTTAGAGAAAAACATATATTTTACAAATATTTTATCCCCTCCCTCCTTTAAAAGAATTATAGGCTATAGTTCTTGAAGTTGGGGGCTTTTCCCATGCTATGTTTGGGCCTCTCCCTATCTCTGGGCCCCTAAAATCGTTACCTAAAAAAAAAAAAGGACCTCAATATGTAATATGGGCCTCCCTAATATTAAAACTGTGGTTACGGCTCTTACATATATATATATATATATATATATATATATATATATATATATATATATATATATATTATATATATATATATATATATATATATATATATATATATATATATATATATATATATATATATATATATATATATATATATATATATATATATATATATATATATATATATTAGTGTTTTCAAAAAATCTTACAGCTTTTTCTAAAACAATATGTCCAGTTTTAGTCTTTTGAAAGTAATTGCAGCAAGTACTTTATTAAGTGTTTAACTTTAGTATCTAAAAACACATTATTAATTGATTTCAATACATTATTGTACCTAACTTTAACCAGGGCCGTCCCGAAGGAGGGGGGTGTTGGGGTGTACCCCCCCCCAAAAAAAAAAAAAAAAAAAAAAACTGTCATTTAAGCATTTGAGTACGCACATTGAGCAAGTTTTGAACTATAGTTGGCAAATTGCAAATATTGTTTTTTATTGAGAGCCTTTTTTTTTTTTTTATTTGGTGTTTCTAGTTCGCAAAAAAAAAATACCCCCCCACCCCCATAGACGACCTCTTCGGGACGGCCCTGACTCTAACCCTAACCAAGCAAAAACATAAAAATGCCTGAGGTTGGCAATTTTTTGCTGACCTCGTTTTTATCTTTTATAGTAAAACTTTTGTAAAAATGGCTTTATGTTTGCCAATTGTAATCTGATGCGAACCTAAAACAGCTTAAGGTCAAAAATTTATTACTCACTTTAGTTTTACTAATTTTGAGGGTTGTGTATGCATGCATACTTACCTGTATTTTTACGGCAGTGGGCGAGGAACTGCCAATTTGTGTATTCCATAATGCAAAAGTGTATCAATGTCTTCATTCTTGCTGAGTCAACTGTGACAGAAGACTTTAATACATGAGCTATATTGCCAACAATCTGAGTTAAATAATAATATAAAAAGCATACAACTTTTAAAAGCACAGAAAACTTATAGAATAACCCATTAGAGGACATGGCAGTTTTGAAAATACCTTCTCACTTAAAAAAGGATTTGTGATTTTGAAACACTATTACATTTTATCTAATAAATATATAAAATCACAAATGAAAAAAAAAATCTAATAACACATAAGGGAAACATTGATATTTCTCTAAAAATGCTGCAACTCTATCAACTCTCTCAACTGGAATTTTATTACCCAGGTTAATTAATTAAAACTCTATACTTAGATCAGTTAAAATAAGGATAAAAAATGTAAAAAATAAAATTAATTAATAATACTAATTTTACTAATTGAAAAGCATTGTTTTCTTTACTTACTTTTCTTTGCATGTATTTGGAAACTTGCAATTGCTTAAAAGAAAACAGACACATATATGTCATATATGTGTATGTATGCAACATACACATGGATATTTAGAAATAGTACTAATACTAATCTTAAGTAAAAACAAATTTTATAGTAATAGCAATAACAATATTAAAACATTTATAACGAGGTAAGCAATGTTAACAATTATATTTATATTAATATAATAATAACAATAATAATAATAATAATAATAATAATAATAATAATAATAATAATAATAATAATAATAATAATAATAATAATAAGAGGTCGCTGTAACAAATGATGTTAACAATTGTGGAGCGCAACAACAGTTGATAATGCATTGTATCAGCTTTGCATAATTCCTAAATCTCTAAACCAAATTATCTTAAAAACAATTTTGCAATAAAATGTCTTTGCAAATATTTGATTTATCTAGCTTGTTTTTGAAGTGATTTATTGAATCAGCCTCTATTATGCCACTCGGTAGATTATTCCATATATTGACCATACGATTAGAGAAAAAATTTAATCTGATAGTATTCTTGCAGAATATTTTGAATTTATGTTGCCTCAGATTGGGGCCTTCTTGCAACGCGGTATAATTGTAGTTTGAAACCCAATTTACTTTATCAAAACATAATGAATTTTGTATTGTTGGATTAGATCGCCATGTATTTGCCGTTTTTCTAGACTTGTTAATTGCATAATACCTAATCTTTTCTCATATGGTATTTTTTTCAATGCTGGCACTAACTTTGTGGCTCTTCTTTGGATTTTCTCAATTTTATTGATGTCTTGTCTTAAATATGGACACCAAGCTTGAATCGCAAATTCAAGGTGTGGCCGAAGGAATGTTACATATAACGGTTTCACCATATGTGTGTTGACGTATTTGAATGTTCCTCTTATAATACCAAGCACTGAGTTTGCTCTGCCAACCGCTGTATCAACTTAAGTTTTCCATTTTAAATCAGATTGTATCATTATACCCAAATCTCTTTCAGTTTCAGTAATTGATATGCTGTGATTTAAATTGGTGTCAATATCATGCATTATGAACAGACGATTAGGATTTTTTCTTCCAATATGCATAATCATGCATTTGTCATAATTAAATTCTGTTTGCCAAGTAGATGACCATGCCATGATATTGTCTATGTCTAATTGAAGTTTCTTAGCGTCACATGAATTGCTTATTATGCTAATAATTTTACTATCATCGGCGTAAAGTTTCATGTTGTTATTCACATGATCCGGTAGATCATTTATAAATAACAGAAATAGTAACGGTCCCAGAACTGATCCTTGTGGTACACCGCTGATAACTGGTAATCAATTTGATACACGGTCCCCAAGAACAACTCTCTGCTTCCTATTGCTTAAGAACTCTTTTATCCATTTTAGATAGTTGCCTACAATCCCATATGATTTTAATTTATAGACTAAACGTGAATGTGGTACTTTATCAAATGCAAAATCCAGATAAAGCATATATATAGAACAATTTTTTTCTAAAGCATCTGTGAGGATATCTAAGGTTTCCAATAAGTTAGTTAAGCAGCTTTTATTTTTTTTAAATCCGTGTTGATTTTTTTTTAATATATATATATATATATATATATATATATATATATATATATATATATATATATATATATATATATATATATATATATATATACAAACATTCTTTGTATATAATATGTATACATATATAAATACATAGACATATTATATACAAATGTTACAATAATAAAATTAGTAACAATGTTTTTTATTGAAATATCTTTAAATAAAAATGGAAATCTAAAATAAGAATCAAGTTCTTATAATAAGAATCAAGTTCTTAAAATAAGAATCAGGTTTCTAAAATAAGAATCAGGTTCATAAAAATAATCAAGTTCTTAAAATGAGAACAAAAGTTCTTAATCTTGGGTTTTGCTGTGTACATATGTGTGTGCATTAAGGTGATTAAGAATATCATACTGAAAAAAAATTGTAATCTAAACCTTTTTCCTCAAGGTTGTCTGTATTCAGAGGCGATTCTACGAATAAAATGAAGGAGGGGGGGGGAAGGGGGTTGTGAATCCGTAAAAAATACCTATTGGTTCCTAAAAAATAAAATGGGCTCCATAACTAAAATTCACCAGACTGAATTTTTTTGAATACTCAGCAACCCGACTATATTCGTCAAAACATCACCTATAACTTGAAAATCACCTTCGGTTTGGCGGTTTGTTTTCTCCCCCCCCCCCAACCTTTAATAAATATTCTGAACCACAAATTTTACTATATGAAGCATATTTAGAGGTTGCTATGGTTTGAATATTCTTATATATTTTTTGTATTACTTTTTAAGTTTTTAATTATTTTGAATTACCTTTAATGAAAAAGCAATAAATAAATACATACTGATTCATTTTTGCTTAATTAATTACTATTGTTGGCAGTCATCTTTCTGTTTTTTACAATCTACAATCTTCTGTCAGTGCAGTATGCATTAATGACAAATTGCACTTGCATTTTAGTATATACTGATTATACACTATACATTGTTTATACTTTTTGTAACTAATAGATTTTTTTTTTCTCAGAACTTTTAACTGAGTAATATGACTATCACCATATTGTGCTGAAGTATGGCTTCTTGGGGAACCTACTGAAAAATTGTCCGTTGTAAGACTTCTATTAAAAGAAAATATTCTGAGGACAATTCTTTTCCATCACCAGGAGGCAAAACAAAAAGTGAAGACATCGATTCGAAAAACAATTAAAGCAATATTAGCTGGGGAAGAGGGAGAATCTCAAATCAAAAGATTGACAATGCTGAAAGAAAAGTGTAAAAATTTTATAATGAATGCCTTATTCTTAAGAAGAGCAGAAGCAAATAGCTAGATAGTTGAATAAAAGAAAAAAAATTATAGGCTGATCTAAGAGAACTATCTGAACTTTTAAATAAGGATACTTTAAATAATATGAAAACAAAGAAGATAAAAGCTTCAGCATGTCAGAAGTGGACCAGTCACTAGCAGCTAAAGAAAATCAAAAGCAACGCACAGTGGGCCAAAATCATTATTAGCTGGACAAAATTAATAACTTTTAAAATATTTATTAGGTTTTTCCCATAATTAGCAGCTTGAGTATATTTCATATAACAAATCTAATGGCACCATTAGATTGTTTATTTCGTTGCCATGGATACCTATATTTCATGTCAACAGGCATTTTGCATAGTTACCTAAATAAAAAGACTTTCTCAAAATATCAAAGTTATAAACTAAACTGATATTAATGCTACATTGCTATTTTATGTATTTGAATGATAACACAAACAAAAAATTATCAATTTTTGGTGTTACTATGCTGTTATGTGCTCTTAGAAACCAGTTGGTAATTTTTTTTGAAACTTTTTTTTAATTCAAAATTTCTTTAAAAAATGAAATAAAAACTTTTAAAACACTCTTAACTATAAAGGTTTACAGGAACAGTTAATTAAATTTTAACTGTGTAGTTTAGATACCCTTAGCAACCATATAAAAATAAGCAAGTTTTTATGCAATTAGAGATACAAAAAATTTTATAACGAATATATAAGAAAACAAACTTTTATATTCATTATTTTATTATATAAATATTAAATACTTATAAAGTAAACACCATCTTAAACACCAACGAAAATCAAAACTATGTCATTGACACTTAGTCAAAAATTGGAACCTCTTTAAGAAGATCAAAAACTCCATTTGGAAGAGCGTTTTTCTTAGGATGATGGGGTTTTCTCAAACTCCTTATCAAAGGGTCAAAAGAACACATTAGTCGCCTTAATAAATCTTCGTTTGTTTTGGAACGCGAACACTTTCTAGAAAATGATTCTCGAAATTTCTTAAAATTTTTATTTTGAGCTTCTTGTGCCTCTTCGCTGAGCATGCCAATAGGCAAAGCCATTCTCTCTACAACTTGCCAACCATGAATAAGAATGTGATGCAGACTCTGTGGCATATGATACCATGGATAAAGGATTACATACTTCTCAGCTGTTTTGTAGCAGTATTCTCTAAATAGTGAAGAATCAATTAGAAAGTTAGATGACAATGTACACAAAATCACATGTAACATCTTTATCATACTGACATCAAGTTCAAGAATTTGAGCAGACTTCTCTGCATTCTGAAAAAATTTTCTAGCAGTGTTTCCATTATTTGAAGACCCATAGCCACCAGATGTTGGTATATCAATTATCAGTCCAACTTCATTACGAAACCTTATCTGGATTTTCTGTTTTCGTTCTTAAATAATTTTCTTTTCAGATATAGTTCTTGTAGCCCACTTTTTCACTGTCAATTTATAACTAATTTTAAGAAGACATTCCATGCTTTTAATCCAAGCATGGAGAGTTGAAAGACCGAAGCAGAGACCTATCTCTGTCAATGGCATATTTTTAGCTGCATTAAGATCATTCATTTTTTTTGGGCTGCATCCACAAACAGAACAACACTGAGAAGATGTAGTTGCTGTAGATAATGCTGTAGCAACTTTGCCGTCCACCATCGTTATTTCAATTTTATGAAGTATTGTTAAGTTTTCACAAAATGTTAAAGACAAATTTGCAATTGAATTGTTAATAAACTGATTCTCTTGTTTCAAAACTTCAATGGTTTCTTTTTTAAATGAAAATCTTATTGGTCTGCAATATAAAGTTGAAGATGGATGTGGATTAGACCAAATTATTATTTTTTTATCATTAATGAATCCAAACAACTGAAGTGGAACAAAACAAGAAATAAACAAACTAGCTTCTTCTAAAAGATCTCTGTTTTCTTTCTCAACTGTTACTTGATTATAAATCCTTTGGCTAGTTGACCCATCAAACCCAACTTTAGAATATAAAGTCAACCTTTCAAGATCATTCATTGAATCAATAACTTGTTTCTGCAACTGTATTAGGCGTAT